CTTCAGCAGGACGAGGAATTAGAAGCTATTTCTATTCTGGAGGTCAGGGAGAGAGCACTGCATCAGCCTAGGTCTGCAGGAGTTTTTCAGGAGATGTCCACAGATTTATATGTAATACTGTATTTCCATTTGAATTTTTGGCATTTGGCTTAGGGGTTTTGTTGTGAAGAGGCAAAAGCAGTCTTGTTTCAGGAACATAGCATCGACATTAATTTGGCTGTGATTTACAATGGTGATGAGGTTGTGAAGGGAAGATGTGAGTGAAACACACACTCGGAATAAGCAAAGGGAGAGGAAAGGCTTTGTGTGAAAAGAAATCTTGATATTTTAATTGACCCAGCAGACAGCACCAGAGAGCCCAGAGGAAAAGCCAAAGTCCCTAGCTCCCTGCAGATACAAATTTCATGAGTCATAGCATAATAAGAATATGCCCTCACATTTTTATTTATAGAAGACCATGCCTATGAGATTCCTAGGAACTGCAAGATGTTGAACAAAATATCATTAAAGTATTTGAGGTGTCTTTTTTCTTTTTTCCTCTCTGGTATGTGGCCCTGTTAATTCTGAGAAGGGACCACCAGGAGGAACATCCCATTAAATAAAGGAAGCATAACTCCCTTCTAGCCCAGTGCATTGCTGCCTGCTATGATTTTCCCCTTATTGTTTCTGTTAAAGGGGAAGAACTGTCTTTTAGAAAAAAAATCTTTATTCCGGTCTTGGTTGATTTATCTTTATTAAAAGTAATGCTGAGCTTAGCAGTGAAATATGGGAGAAATTTGTATCATGGTTTTGATTTTATTTTGTGTGTATATTTCTTAGCATTTTGCCTGTAGCTCATTGCTTCTATTTCATCCCTTTTTTTGTGGTTGCGTATCAGGATTTTCACACAGCAGCTGAGGAGAAAAGAGTATTTACCTGAAACAGCATCTAAGCCTTGCAGGAGAAGCATTTGGTGAATGGAGTTTACATCCTCTGTTGGGTGAACTATCAATCCCAGGACTAGACAACAGTCCCCTAATCTTACCCAGAAAGGAATTTAAAATTGTTTAAAAGCATCATCAGGGCTCCTTTAAAATTTACTACATTTCACTGCGCATTTATCCGAACATGCCTTTATTGTATATGCCTCATTCCACTGATGCTACCTTACCTTCAGCAGCTCTTGGTTTTTTCTGGGCATTCTTCTATCTTTGTGGCTGACTGCCCACATCTGTGTACCCATCACAGATGACTTCAAACCCGTCGTGAATGATGTCATATGACCACCTCGCATTCAATAATAATTTAAAAAAACCCCAAACCAGTGAGAATCCTTCAAAAACAAACAAACAAACAAAAAAAAGTAAAAAAAGAGAGTAACAAAAGTAATTTATCCTTTTTGAAAGTCAGAAATTGTCCGGATCAACATACTTAAGCAGTAGATGCAAGAGATGAGGCTGTGTTTAAAGAGCAGATTCAGTCATTGAGGCGCTGATGTGACACCCAGGTGTATTCAGGTCAGTGCTGTGCTCCTCCAGCCGTCTTTTCCAAGACCCATAAAGAGTGGAGATAAATATAGTAAAATAGCAAGATGACCAGATATGATGGCTTGGGGGAATATATATCACCCGAGAGACGGTGCAAAATGTGCCCATGTGGAAGTGCTGCGTAATGTGTGGTCTCAGCTTCTGCAGGTTGTAAATAACTGGCTCCTGCAGCTGCCACGCGCTACTCGGGGAGTGGTGGGGTAGCAGGTGCCATGATGGTCTCAGTGCATTGCTTTCCATTTGTTAGCTCCCAGGATTTATCTGCAAGCCTCCTAACATGCATAGGCATTTAATGTGTTCTCTGTTGTTCCACTGTTACTTGATTTCCTCCCCTTCCAGTGAGCATTGGCACAGAAGGAGATATTTGTTCTTAAAAAAAAAAAACCAGACCCAGACCAAAGCTGCTATTGCAGCGAGGAATCCATTTAGTCATAACTGTCTTTGGATGGTTTGTTTGGTTTAGTTTTTTTCCTCTTTTGGCCTGTATAACTTAAAAGGGTTGTAAATCCTTCCTACAAAAGCAAGCTGGGTGCTTGCTCGTCGGTTCAGATGACCACGGATCCATTGCAAAACAGCCGCCGGTATTGCACACAGCTGCTGGGGAAGAGACGCCCTCGTATGCTGCCTCCGTAAGCAGTTAACGCTTTCAGATAAAGCAACTTCCTTCAGAGATACCACTTCCTTAAGCAGGCTGTAAGCTGCAAACTCTGTTCCCTTTTTCTCTGTTCTGCAGAGCTGTCGTGTTAGTGCCTCTCCCTTTTGACGGTCGGATAACGTTAATGAAAGTTTTGCTGAGATGATAAAGGGAAATTGAGTACCACAGTGCTGTTCCTTAGGAGGCACAGACACGATGCAATATCTTTCATTTCCTCCGTTTGTTTTGAACGGGAGCTCACCAGAGGCAAATCAGTGACCATGGGCTGTTTACCTGGTGAAATCACCACTCAGTAAGAAAGTCTGTGAAATCACCACTCAGCAAGAAAGTCTGTGAAATACAGCCATTTTAAAGAATACCATTATCAGCTTAACTGTACCCAGAGTTATTGCAAAATATCTTATTCCATCAAAGACATTTTTGTCCATCAAGGTGTCTTGGGTCAAACCAGAGAAGGAAGAAATACTCTCATTTCAGCAAAGCTGGCTGCTCACCAATTCTAACTATGAATGTTTCTTTCCAAGTATTTTCTTTAGATTTAAGTCCCTTAAATGATTGCAAGTCTGCTAGCATTTGAGTATTGGTGGGTGCTCTCATCAGTGGCATCTTCACATCCTGCTCAGACTGATGATTAGAGTAGCTTCCCATAACATATTTCTAGACAAAACGATTAGAAAGCAGAGAAGCTCTAAGGGAATCTTGACTCCCCTTTTTCTAGTAAAACTTGATGTTCTCCTCTTCAAAATAAAAGAAAAAAAAAAAAAAGCCGTCTCTCAAGAAGTAAATCCAACACATCCCCTCTGGATAAACAAAGTTCCTGACAACCTCCATGCCTGATGTGTGTATTTAGTGCTGTGCTTGCTTGGAGGATGTTCTGTATTTCTGACTTTTCCCTGGTGGAGCAAAAAAATGTTGTTCTGATGCAATGGAAATAATTTGTCATAAAGGCCAGGATGGAGGAAACCTGGTGTATGTCCTTCAGAGTTCTTTCCCACCCAAAATATTTCTGTTAATTTGCTTTCACTATGAATTTGTCACTGTATACCTGGTCCCAATTAGAGGTAGATGGTAATCAGTCATCCTATGGAGATTTTGTTAATTCAGATAAGAAGGAAATACACACATGTACATTTGTGTTAAAATCAAATGGAAAACCTTTCAATGCCTCACAGCCCTTGGGCCAACACACATGGTGATACGGATACTTCATGTCCCGTGCACGCACAGCTGTGCAGAGAGGACTTCACATCATTGCCAGGAGCTTGGTAGGACCTCATCTGTGATGTGGCCCCAGGCTCAGTTCCTTGTCCTGATCTGGCATGGCAAGTGGAACATCCAGCTTATTCCATGTCCCAGGAAACTCTTCTAGCCTGAGGATCTTTTAGACTTTGCTGTTGGAGGCTGTTTTACTCCTTTAAAATTCTCTCTTAAATGTGTATTTGGAGAGGGAAGCAAAAGGCATTAGAGAAATTGTAATATTGGCCTTGTAATCCTTAAGATACTACATAAAAACACGATCATCACAATACCGTACAGATTTTGGGTGACAACTGGAAATGTCAAAAGAGGCAGGAATCAAGATAAACGTATGTCTGCAGCTTCTGGAAAATTATACATTTTCAACAAGACTCAAACTGGGTACTCAGAATTACTAGCACATGAAAGAACAAATACTCCAAATACACTGCAAAGGGGAAAAAGAAAATAAAATCTATCTGTAGCTACCAGTATGTCAATGAAGAATTGGAGACTTTTGATGATGAAGGGTGTAAGGTGGCTCCTCCATCCCGTAAGAGAGCAAAAATGCTGGGCAGCATCTTTGAAGGACATCTGTGCTTCGGATTGGGAAACAG